AAGGTATGGTTTTTTGGATGACATGTACAACCAAGCACTTGGCTCTCCATGGCACTTTTTGAAAGAGGAGGGTTATAATTCTCATGTTTTAGCAGTGTTTCAGTCTGAGTAAATAAATTCTGCCTAGCTGAGTTCAATCCGTATTTTAAACATTTTTGCAGCAGTCCTCTGTACTTTGACCCTAATCTGTGTCATATTGCTGTGTGCTATTAAAGAGGGTGTCATCCAAGATCCACTTACCTAATTTCTCAACTCAGATATGGAAAAAAAATTCTAGTTGACATAACCCTGCTAAAAAGGTATGTAACATTTGTAGTTTGGAACATACCCTGATTTAGCATCTTGTTACTAATGTGGTTTGGCAAATTGTTCTTCGTTTTACAAACAAGTGTCCAATCATTCTCAATTTATAAGCAGCAGCTAGTTTCTTGTGTAGGTACGCTTCAATCTGCACAAATTTCACTTTAGTCAATTAATTCAAATAAAAATGTAACATTTTCTTTTAGAGGTAGATAGGACAACTTGGTGGTAAGCAAGTTGCCATATGTTGCTTAGGAAATAGTCATTACAATATAAATATGCCTCTTTGTTGCTAGTGGAGGTGATCTGCAGAAAATATATTTGTCCAGAACTCAAAGGATTGCACCTTTTAATTGTCATTTTATATCCATTAGGATCGAATGGTGTCCATGGCTCTAGATAAGGACCACGAAGTAGCAGTTCAAGCCATGAAACTCTTGATGCTTATAGCACAGTAAGCAATTTCTTAATATTCTGTATTGTTTTATTGGCAAGACCCAGATCTAACTCATTGGGGAATCCTCCTGTTGCTGATAAGGAGCTCAGAAACAGTTGTCCCCTGCAGCCCATGGGTTAAAGAGGATAACTAAGTTAAAAGTCTGTTCTGATGTTGTGACCAAAGTCAGAATGGTACTTAAGAAATATGGTTATCCCAGAATAGTGAGATTTCTATTTCCCTTTTTGTTTTGCATTTTTTATTTGTATACAGCCTGTCAAAGACTTACGAACCGGTTACGGACCAAGCAATTGGTTGTAACTCGTTTTTTTCCGTAAGTCGGCCCCCATAGAGTTACACGTGACCACGCTGTTTGTAAGTGAGGATCGCGTTCATAACTCGGGATCCGCCATTTATGACATTTTTGGTCGTAACTGCGAATGGTCAAAAGTTGACCGTTGGCAACTCGGGGAACGGTTGTACAGACTGCATCCCAATGAAAATACTCTTTGGCTATATCTATACTGCGCTCTCTTGCGCAAGAAAATATGCAAACGAGGCAAAGTGGTGAAGATCGTCGCACCTCATTTGTATACTTAATAAGCTGCCATTTTGTGCAAGGGGCTTTTGCACAAAAAGGAGCCATCTACACAGATCCTTTTTGTGCAAACCCCCCCCCCCCCCTTAGCAGCAGTATGTCTGTGTGAGCTGGGAATCAAACCCTTCCTTCAAGTACACATATACCCATAATTACAGAAAGCCACAGGGAGAGCTGTACAACTTGGATAGCAACTGTTGAATTTCTGAATCTTTGCATTACTTGTACCAGAATAATCTTGTGCATAACTGATAATTATCTCATTCACCACTCCACTGACTTAAGTGGCATTACTCCATTACACCAGCCTATACATGAGAATAGACTTGGGCCCATTGTATACTTCGTTGGTGACATAACTTGATTTTTTATGGGAGATACCATTGTTTAAGTGACCCTAAGAATAGGTGGGTTACTACTGCTAATGTAAACAAACACAACAACTACTTCGTATGATAGTTGCTTCCCCATATTGCATAGATATTTCATTGTACTTTGTTACAGCAGCTATGTACATAACATGTGCCTGTGCTAGGAGGAGTAACACTCCATTGTTAAAATACAATGACTCTTTAAACCAGTTAAGGTTGCTCTTGTTCTATAACTGAACCAACAAGCGCTATATTAGCACTGCAGCTGTTTAGCTTCTCTGACTTTATTGTTGGGTTCACATGCTCGCAAAACTCCTGAATGCTAAGTATAGTCAAAAAAAGTTTATCAGTTGTCTTTATTTTTAGGAAAGCCTTATCTAAACAAAGTTTAAAATTAGATTTCCAGCAATGAGCAATTCCTCAGAAGAAGTTTTCCAAACAACACTTGTCCATCATAAAACATATTTCCTCGTAAATAAAATGAGTGCATGTTTTTATTTATTAAGCCATGGCAGAGGTCCAACAAACACATACTCATTGTCTTTGTTTCTGCTCCATCTGTTGCAGCGCCAACAGCGCTTGTAGTCATTCTGAGCCCTGCTGATTTGGTTTAATTATTGGGAAGATGAAGATGGGAGTTGGGGACTGAAATGAATTATCCAGAAATCCAACCAAGAATCCTATCTTTCGCTTACAAAATTTGTACTGTCCAGTCTAAACATGTTGGGTGAAATATTGCACTCTCTGTGATAAGGAGTCACCCTGTGGCTGTGATATGGTTGCTTTGAGAGCATGTCTCAAGATGCCTTTCCAGCAAGGGAGATGTTTCAGAAGTGATTGCCATCATTCCAGGACCAGGAAAGAGCTCAGATGTATGTCTGCACTGCAAGTGGAGGTGTGATTGTAGCAGAGGTTGGCACACCCATGGTAGTTTTAACTTAGCAAGCTTGAGTAACAGTAGCAGTGTAGGTGTGGTGGCATGGGCTCAGCAAGGGCTCAGCAAGGGCTGGCAACAAGTGTACTTGCTGTGAACCCTGAGTATGTACTTGACACTGGCTTGTGTGGAAGCCCATGCACACAGAGAAACTGTAAATGGGTTTGGGAATTAAGGAATTCCAGTGAGTAATAACATAAGAGTGACCTGTAAGGATTAGATTTGTTCAACAGATTTGCTTCCTGTATGTGTTCAGTCGTATTTGCTTGCTTATTTGGTACAAAAATGTTCACCTCCTTTAGCCAGTTCAAACTTTTCTGTCAGAACTGGTTTCTCCTCTAGTTTCATCAGCAGCAGTATATCAACTAAGTTCTAACTGGATGTACATCTGGTGAGGCCCAGAAGACTTTTTAGATGCTAGTGCTGCCAGTTAGATGCTGTTAGTTGATAATTGCTAGGCAGATAGCCAGTGACAAACTCTGATATTTCTAATTTATTTAGATGTACTAAATTATTTAAGCAACATAGTTTCCTACAGCTTCAAAGGGGTAGCCGAGTTAGTCTGTAACTGGAAAAACTTAAAGAACAACAAATAGTCTTGCCAGCACCTTAAAGACTAACAAAATATGTAGATGGTATCACACAGGACCCTCAAGCGGTGCACATGCCCGGCCTGTGTTGGTCACATTCTTATTTCCACCCTCCTTTTTATTCCTTCAGAGGTATATATCCACTTTTGCATATTGTATTAAGTAGAAGACTTACCTGGTGTTGCCAGGGGCTGGCCCAGGGGGCAGGGGCAGGGAAGGTGCCCTGCGGAGGTGTCTTGCCAATGCTGCCCAGGACCAGGGTCATGGAGGCCTCCTGCTTATGCTCCTTGGACTTGGGGGCAGAGGGAAGGGGCCAGGCCAGCCCCGGCAGCGCTCCCTGGGCTAACCTGGACAGGAAGAAGGAGGGCCTGGTGGTATTGGGGAGGGGACTGGAACTCAACTACCTAACCCCAGTAGTTTTTTGCGGGGGAGGCCTGTGGCAGTGATGCTGATGGGAGGGAGGCTGGGGGGGAGGGGAGAGGGGAAGGGGAAGGGCACTTACTGGACCAGTGGCTGGCAAGATGGTGAACTCAGTCCCCAGCTGGCCAATCCCTTCCTAGTGCGGCTGCCCCCAGTGGTCACTCTGCAGTACAGCTGTGCCATGGGCTCACTTCTCTCAGTGGTGACTGTGCAGTATAGCTTCTCTCTGATCTGCTCCCTCTCTTTCCATGTTATGGAAAACAATCAAATTCCAGGCGCATCCTGTTTTCTTGCCACAACCAAACCCTGAACTTGCTTTAAGTTAGGATCAGAGAAAGGTGCATACCAAATTTGGTGGTCTTACCGTTTAGGAAGAGTTCTTGAACAAATGGGCTCACAGGCAGAAGGACTCAGACAGATGCCTCTAAAATATATATATAAAATGCCAAACTCTGAGGGACTTCCTTTACTGTTTGTACAGCATACGAATGGCCATATTAGGTGAGACCAAAGGTCCATCTAGCCTAGTATCCTGTCTTCTGACAGTGGCTAATAACAGGTACTCCAGAGGGAATGAACAGAACCGGAAATCATCAAGTGATCTATCTTCTGTTGCCTGTTCCCAGCTTCTGGCAAACAGAGGCTAGGGACACCTTCCTTGCCCATCCTGACTAATAGCCATTGATGGGCCTATTCACCATGAACTTATGCAGTTTTTTGTTGAACTTTGTTATAGTCTTGGCCTTCACAACATCCTCTGGCAAGGAATTTCCACAGGTTGTGTATCGTGTTAAGTACTTCCTTGTATTTGTTGCTGTCTATTAATTTCATTTGGTGACCCCTTCTTGTGTTATGATAAGGAGTAAATAACACTTCCTTATTTATTTCCTCCACACTGGTCACCATTTTATAGACCTCATTCGTATCCCCCCTTAGTTGTCTCTTTTTCCTAGCTGAAAAGTCCCAGTCTTATTAATCTCTCCTCATATGGCAGCCGTTCCATACACCTAATCATTTTAGTTGCCCTTTTCTGAACCTTTTCCAGTTCAAGTATCTTTCTTGAGATGAGGCGACCACATCTGCACATAGTCTTCAAGATGCGGGTGTACCATGGATTTGTGTAAAGACAATATGACATTTTTTGTCTCTGTCATTATTTACTGATTCCCAACATTCTGTTTGGTTTGCTTTTTTGACTGCCTCTGCTCTTGAGTGGATATTTTCAGAGAACTATTCGCAATGACTCCCAGATCTCTTTCTTGAGTGGATCTCATCATTTTATATTTATAGCATACAGCGTGATGGGAGCTTGATTGGGCCTTTAGGTGCTATCATAACATGAATGGTGCCACAAAACATTAACCAGGACTGAGAAAAGATACAAAGCTCTGTAGATTAAAATTGAGAAGAAAATAGAGTGGGAGGAAAAACATGAGCCACAGATACTTGGTAGAAGTGAGAAAGCAGTAATTCTGAAAGAGATCCAGGTATCTTAGTGGATGGCAAATAGACATGTGACTGCAATGCAAGATGTCAGTAAAAAGGGTTAGGAACATTTTAAATTGAGTTATAGTGACATAAAACAGTAATACAATGTTCCCTCATTATAGTGCTTCAGTGAGTAACTTGGATTATTGTGTTCATTTCTTTTTGCTTGACTACCAGAAAGAGTAGAGGGAGTTCAGAAAAGAGGAACAAAAATGATTGGGTAAAGGTAGGAGATTACTGATTTGGAAAGGGAAGTAGCTGGAGGATGTAAATAACAAGGGAAGAATTATTTTGGTCCATGTCAATCTGGATATAAATTAGAAATTATGAGACTAAGACTATGCCTACACTATGAAGTTAAGGCAATTTAAGTTACGGCAACATTGAGCCATCTGTGTAAACAAACTGCTGTTGCATGTGCATACTATGCTCTTTGTGTTGGTGGAACACATCCACAGTAGTAGCACTTCGATTGATACAGAGAGCAATGCACTGTGGATAGCAATTCCTCTTTGCAAATAGCCACAGGGTGTTTTTGGAGGAGTTAGCAATGCTTCATGGGTCAGGAACAGTGTCACTTGATGAAGGTTTCTCAATCCCATTATTCCATGGGCATC